CTTGGTAGGACTCGAGGAAGTACACTGAAAGTGCTGAGAAATGCCCGACAGTTTCAGGACAGCCAGTGAGGCTTGTAAGTGTTACTGTTCCAGTTGTGAGTGTGTGCCACAGAACAACATTGTACAAGTGCAGAAATTACTGACTGGCAAAACTTACGGAGGCAGAACAGTTTAACACTTGGGTACTCAGCAAAGGTTGGCAGTTCAAACCTACCCAGACGCTCTGCAAGGGAAAGAACTGCTTATCTGTTTCCATAAAGATTGTTGTTATTGTTAAATCCTGTCAAGTTGGTTCTAACTCATAACAACCCTGTGTAGGGTTTACGAGGATTGGCAGGTGGGTTTGAATTACTGACTTTATAGTTAACAGTCTAGTGCTTACACTATACTGCCACAATAATGAAGAAAATCCTGTAGTATAGTTCTGCCCTGTCCAAGGGGTTAGTCCACGTTGGAGTCGACTTGATGGCTCCTGACAACAACAGAGATCCTTCGTCTGGTTAAGCTGACATAGTTGTGGGCAGCGTAGACAGCCAGGACTGTGGGCGTCTCTCTACTTATTAAAATACAACCCCCTTTTTTTTCAGTGTAGAAATATTGAAAGTATTTTTCTGCCAAGAATTTAGTATTTTCCGAGGCTAGTGGTTTGTCTGATATGAGGTAACACATGCAAGGAACCCTCTTGATGTAATATCTGGAACGTCGTCTGTGCCCCATAAACATGCGTTAAAAGTTGGTGGACTAACTAGCCAACGCTAGTAGCAGCAGCTCACATTGATTGTGTTCCCATAAACCTTCTCCTTCCAGCTTCATATGAACCCAGACTGGTGGGATTTGAAGGGGGTAAAGTCGTATGTCTTGTGTGTGGAGTCGGGAGGCAATCGGGGTGGTTGAGAACCTTGATTTGAGCTCAGTTAAAGGTGAGAACAATGACCAAACCAAAAAACCCCTAACTCACTGCAATCAAATCAATTCCCATTCATAGTGAACCCTGTAGAGGATTTCTGAGACCGTATATCTGTATGGGAGCAGAAAGCTTCATCTTTCTCTCGTGGACTAGCTAGAGGGCACACACCACTGACCTTGTGGTTAGTGCTTACCCTCTGCAACCACCGCACTTCCCCTCTAGCACCATGCTGTTGAGGAGATTAAATACCTGAAAAATATTTTACATGGAAAATAAGACTTAAAAACAAAAACTCAGATTTCATAAGGGAAAATAAAACAGAAAAGAAAGAAGGAAAAGGAATTCTAAATGTCTCTCTCCTTTCTTCCCACTTCCTGCACTTCAGCTTGTAAATGCACTGAAAACAGTGTCCGTATTTGAAGTCCGGATTGTGGATTACAAGTATAAGTAAGTACACGGTACACTGTTTTGCTTGGATGAGTTAATAGCGGATAGAAAGTGTTGATAGAAAAGGAGCTCTTGGCACTTTATAGACCCAAAGGGGCTCAGTGGGCAGATGAATATCCTAGATACTCAGCGATATGTTGGGACATCTTCCCATTTTTAAGGAAAGTGATGAATCTAGATTTTTATTTGAAATTTATACATTTTTAAAAGTTAGCAACTAATGTAAAAAAATTTTAAATGTAACATTAATTAAACAAGGAGAAATTTTTAATTTTTTAAAAAATTGCTTATATTATTTTTAGGAAATTGTGTTCAGTTTAGTGTTCATATGTCATGTTGCTGTTAAGTCCTCTCAAGTCACTGTCCACTCACAGTGACCCTGTCTAGGGTTTCTGAGAGTATAATCTTCGCGGGAGCAGAACACCTCGTCTTTCTCCCAAGGAGTGGCTGGAGGGCTCAAAACACCCACCTTGTGGTTTGCTTATCCTATGGAGCTACCCCATTCCCCTAATAGGATATGTTATTGTTATTAAGTGCTGTCGAGTTGTTTCTCACCCATAGTAACCCTGTATAGGGTTTCCGAGGAGCAGCTTGTGAGCTTGAACTGCTGACCTTGTGGTTCAAACTGACTTTGTAGTCCAGCGCATTAACCCACAGCGCCATACCAGGACAGCATCTTTCTAATGCTTGGTAGTTTAAGTTCCCTTTTTGGTATACAGAGAGCCTTACAATACATCTACTTCCATTTGAATTCTTTTTATTATACATAGTTTTACAGTTTTACTTATGATATACATCACTGGTTTTCCACTGATGGTAGTTATTAAAATTTTCTTTAAGAATATATATATTTAAGTTTATTTTAAAAAGATGAGCTGTAGTCATTAGTGAACATTTTGATCAAGGAGTGTATAGAAGACTTCTGATCAAAAGGGGGGAAATACAGAACAGATTTTCAAATTCTTATGGGCTCCGGACTTTCAGAGCCACGGAGGCTAAAAGAACCCCTGAAACTTTTGCCTGGAAATAATCCTTCAACCCCAACCATCCCTTGAAATCTTCTTTAAACCAAACAATGTGGTCGTTGTTGTTCTTAAGCACCATTGAGTTGGTTCAATGCGTAGCCATCCTGTATAGGGTTTCCAAGGAATGGCCGATGGGTTTGAACTGCCAGTGCTTATCCTAAAACACCACACCAAACAGTCGTTTAGCTTAATTAATAAGGAAACTCTGCCTTGAGCATTGTGCTCTTCAAAAAAAACAAACCCCCAAAAACCCAAAAACAACTAACTGGGATCCAGTTGACAACAGTGTCTTGCAGGATTACATGGAAACTTAGGGGTCAGTGAGTTTATGTCAGTGGAGGGGGGACAAGTTGGAAAAAGAGGATGAGGAGTGTTGCACAAATTGAGAAATGTAATTACTTTCACTTTCATACATGTAAAAATGGCTGAATTGATATATGTTGTATTATTTACATTCTTAATAACAACAACAAAAATAACTTGTTTAGAAAAAGTTGAGCTGGCTTAGACATCATTTTAAGTTATTAACTCATTAATACTATTGGCTTAAAATTGGCAAAAAGAATCATAAAGTTAGAGGAATGTTACTTAATATCAGGAAATATTCTTTCTGTGGATCGTGGGCAGCTCATTACTGTTTTTCTTCTCTCCACCTGTCTCGTGTTGTTCTGTGTGTTCACAGGGAACTTGGGTTTTTAGATCAGCTAAGGATCACACACAACACGGACATTTTTATTGGAATGCACGGAGCTGGTCTTACCCACTTGCTTTTCCTTCCGGACTGGGCTGCTGTATTTGAGCTGTAAGTGTTTGGTGGTGGTTTTTTAGTGGAGGCTGCTGATAATGCTTTTTAAGCACTCTGAGCCATTCATTCTGGCTGTTGAAAGGCTTGATATTTAATCATTACGGGGAAGTCACATTCTATAGGCATCAAGAAAAAAAAAAGACACAGTGCTAACAATTTAAAGTCTGCAGTTTGCCCGGGCACTTAGCAAACAAACCACCACTTTCTCCTCACTTCCTCTACCCAACATAATATGAAAAGATTGTGCCTCTGTGGCTTCCGTAGTTTTTGCAGGTTCCTGTGTAACTTTCTAAGTGAGCTGTGAGCATCTCCCTGCTCTCACTGTAATTTTACCATTAAGAAAGGACTTCAAACATGTATGTGTAATGAGCAGTACAGCTTCAACACACATGTCAGCTGCTTCGTCTCATGCTCACTAATGCCACCCACAAGGAGACAGAGGCCCTAGGTACGCATGGGACTGATTTTCCGAGGTAGTCCTCTAGCTATGGAGAGACCGGTAGTTGAATTTGGGAACCTCTCATGGGCTCTTAAGACCTCAATTGCTACTCACCCAAGAAGGATGTAGCACATTGTCTTTGTGGACATGTCTTGCTGATTGACATAGATGTCCCTTGAAACCATAGTCCTGATCCCCCAGACCCTGTGACTAATCCTCTCAGGGTGTTTGGTTATGCCTAAGAAGGTTTCATATCTTTGTTCCCTGTATGTACTGATACATCCATGAGTATATTTGCAGCCAAGATAAATACACATGTCCAGGTATTGTGTCAAACTTTTATATACTTGTGGGTGTATGCCCACTCTCCCTTCCATACCCACTCAGCCTATGTCTATGCCTGTCTCATAGACCACTGTTACAGTAGGGTTGTGTCTAC